TTTACTTGTCGTTAATTACTTGTCTTGGTTTTATTTAATTTAATTAGTTACGTAAGTTACCTTTCGTTTGTATGTAGACATAAATATATATCTATATATATATATATATATATAGGAGATTCTTTTTGTAAGCTTTGAATGGCAGCTCGTTCTTCTCAGGTAAGATTTTGTGTTGCTGGAGAGTTGAGCAAGTCAGAAGTTTGAATTTATTACCTTCTGTTATTGAAAGTTCTGGAGCTTATTTTTTATGGAAGATATGATGTCAATGATCAAGATGTTATCTGGAGTGGGAGTGACAGTTTTCCTAACAGTATTATGAAATAGTGGCAAGCAATCAATAGATGTGTTCAAAGTGCTCCACAAATGCCAATATTATGGCTTCACTGTCAATACTGGTTGCTATTCTTAGTCTGCCCATGTGATGTTTATACACAAATAAGTCTGTATTATACAACCACTGATACACTTTTCCTATAATTTATGTGAAGAATGATTTTAATCTTGGAACTGCTTGTCATACAATCTGCTGCAAAGTGAGCATTCTGATGACATTTTCTATACTTATAGTATTTTGGCACTTGTGTATAGTTAAAATCATAAATAATATTCAACGTTAAACTGGTACACAAATAAAAACATTTTATTTAGGCCTATCTATGACCTTCAAAAAGTTGACGACTCTACATGTTTCAATGTTACAACGTCATCCTCAGAAGTGACATTGTAACGTCGAAACATGACAACTGCCCAAGAAAGGGAAAGTATGTCAAGTATAAACCAAAGATACCTTCTAGTTCATATTGAAAAATAGATGTTTATACTATCTATAAACTGATGCTATCACAGATGTGAGAATGCTTATGTAAACTTGATTAGAGACTGGAAATGAGATCCATATCCATAGACTGACAGTATCATAATAGAGATAAAGCTACAAAAAAAAGTGAATATTAACTTGGACACAACTTTTTAAAAAGGGATTAGTTGGAACTTTCATATAAGATCCATGTTAAGAAGATGAAGACAGATACATGCCAACAAGCTGCCGATTTACAGTCTTCCACTATAACCAATTATTGAAGTATTTTTGGTTTCGAGAATCACAATGTGTATTCAAAAATCATTCAATTAAGTATCAGATCTATTTGCGGGTTAGATGTGTATACTATTTGGAAAGTCATAAGGACACCAAAAAATTTATTCTATGAACCCATGTTTTGGGCAAGAAAGTCAAGTCTTCTCGGGAGTGCTGAAAAAGAATTCTCCAATGCTGCTGAGAGATACCAGAGATGATGAAGACTTTAGTTCTTCAAAAGGTTCAGAACATCTTTTCAACCTTGATGTAAGTAACAATCGCTATTTCTCTTAGATTCAAATAATGTAGTTAAGATCGAATGTACGATGTTTAATATTGAGTTATGTTTGAACAGATTTCTTTCAATGTATTAATAAATAATTTGCTGGTAGTATTAAGTGGCTTTCTTAGCCATTTTAACAGACTTGGCACCATATCTTTCTTTTGAACCAATATTTGAAGAAGGTAGGGTGTGTCTTTAGTCTGCTCGAAATTTCATATTTTTGTTTGACTAAAGTACATCTTAGTTACTAAGCTTGATATAGTGGAATTCTATGGTATTAATGTAGTAATTTATGATTTTTAGTTATTCAAATGCATATATAAAACTTAAGAAAAATATTTTGTTTCATATCCTCCACATACAGTTTTTTTAAAGACTTAGCAACCTACGTCAAACAGTAACCGAGTACAAAGGTCATAACTAGAAGAGATAATTAAAAAAAATCTATTTACATATATAATGAATAATAATTGAAATTTGACTTCATTTTACAAAATACTAGTCTACTAAAGCACAGCCAAGACAGGTTAATTTGCACCAGACTAAAGGTCAGTTTTATGTGATTTGATACAGTTAGCATGAGTGCACGTGAGCTACATCATTGTAACTTCTGTATTGTTAATGTTAGCCAGGCATGGCTGAAAGGTCAATATAATTAAAATAATAAATATATATATAAATGTCTAATGTTATGAGATTTACCTATTTAGTCTAAACATTTATGTTTTCGTGTTGTAATTTGTGTTCATTCTAGAATGAAAAAGGCATAATTTATATTTATTTCCTAATTTTTTATGGTGGTTGTGAGATCGGTCAAATCTGCTGAGCCTGTACAGAGATTAATTACTGAAAATAACAGATAAAATATAAAGTTTTTTTTCTTAAGAAACATTTGATAACTATCTCGACACTATCAAGATTTTGCATGTGAAATTTTAAAATTTCTGATGCACAAAAGTATTTTTAATCTTAAAATGAACATTACTTTGCAATGATAGATAGGAAACATGTGAAAAGAAAAAAAGGCTTGAGATAAACATTGCTTTATAAACTTTAAGACTTAATTAAAAAAATTTGATATGTTATGTATCAAAGCATTGTAATGTTTACTGATAAGCTCCCAAATTTCGTTAAGATTTGCTTACTAATTTAAAAGTTATAGCATGAAAACTATAAAAAGCACAAAACGATTATGAGGGTCAGTCCCAGGGACCGAGCTCGTGCTAAAAAAGTTAAGGGGTGGGTGGGTGTAGACAGTACTATGCATTGCAAAGGGAAAGGTATTTGGGGAAAGAATCTGTTATCCCTCAGTGCCCCATCTGAGACTACATTGTTTACATGTTAAGGTTTTGTGTGTGAATTTTTTCATTTGTTTATAGAAACCTACAGTATCAGAACATTAAGACTGTTGAGTAAGAACCTGGGAAGAATATCCCGAGTTTTAATTCTCAGGTTTTGAAAGCATCACTAGATCTGGTGTCTCTTACAAGATAAGTTGATCAGTTTGTCATTTTTTATCAGACCAATCGACTAAAAGTGTCTTTTGTACTAGAGGTGTTTAGTGGGTATCATATGTTGTGGAATAGGAAACCCTATTGAGATGCCCTGCATTGTTATCAGATTTATTCAAAACGTACCTCATATGTGAGTATTCCAGGCAGGTCACTTAACTGTAGGGCAGCAAAAGTGATCCTGATTGGTTTTACATTTTATAAACTTCATGCATTCAAGTACAAAATACCACAACCAAAAAATGTTTCATATGCAAAGCACGAGTTTTCCTTCAAGTAATAATTAATGATCAAAATAAACCATGAAAATTAACTCCGATTCTACACAACAAATATTTCAATTCAGGTGCTATTGAATGTTTTACTTTGCTACTATTGCAGTACAGTTTGTACAATAAATGTGTCCATTATCAGCAAAATAACAAGTGATTTTGTATTCTCTGAAATAACAAAGTGAAAATGTGATATATGAAACATATACCAAAGTTTTTTCTTAACTATATAATGCTTTAAAATGTTAAATGTTAACAGCTTGTTCTGTCATAATGCCTGTTATTTATTCTGTTATTGTTTCCCACAATACTGACATCACATAAATGTTGATTAATTTACAGCATTGGGGAAATGCTGATTTCTTTCAAAAATGTAAGAACTTGTTTAGCTTCCTCATTGTAAGTATACCATAATTTTGTATATTTTATATTATATTGAAGTGTGGTCAATAAAACAGAAACAGCATAAATTAGGCCATTAAGATTTACTAATTTGCAGTGACACTAGACACTATTTGGGTAAGTTTGGTATTAGTAATACAATTTTACTATACATTTATGAAGCTTGAACTTTTATTAAAAGAATCCAAAAATGTTATTGCAATGTCTTATATTAAGTAGAAAGTTCAATGTTTTAGAAAACAAATTCATAAACGTAAGGAAACTATTACATAAATAGAAAACTGGCTCATTTTTTAAACACAGATGAAAACTTTGAATAGTACAAGTTAAATATTTCAAACTAACCTGTTTAAATTTTCCTGGAACTTCTGAGAGATCTTATCTTGTGATCCAAGTAGTGAACTACTAACATGTTTCTCCAAAGCTGACTGGATCTGGGAAAATTGTTGATCCAGATGTGCCGAGCTGATTTGAGTTACATTTTGATTTTGCTGTATCTGTCTTTCAATCCAGCTTTCAGTCTGTTGTAGGTCTGTAAGGACATGAGGGAAATATAAAATCAACATAATAATCACAGCAAAAAGAAAATATGGTCATGCAAAGACATTCAAAATGATCTATATGCATATATTAAGGTTTATTTGAACCATAACTTTCAACAGTTTCAAGTGCTTTTCATCATGTGGAAGAGACTTAGAGTCAAACAGGGCAATTCAGAATAAAGAAAAGCATCATGTGATAAAGAGAAATGAAAATTAAGAATTTATTTAAATATTTCCTTTACACACTAAGAAATTAAAACTTATTATATAATATTAAAACCAAATAACAAACTACATGCTTATGCCAAGTTCACTATCCATTAATTACAAAGTTGTTTAATTACATTTTGAATGTAACTCTGTAAAAGGCTACAATGTGCACTTTGATTCCCATGCATATACATAAGGTTAACACATAGCAAACAAATAAACAACAAATGTAAATCTCAAGAAGAAAAGAAGTACTTGCAGCCAACAGACAGTAAACAAAATGTAAGTAGCAACACCAACTCCCATGGAGCAAGGAAACCAACAGAGAGTAAACAAAAGGTATAAAATAAGTGTACCTCATAGGAAGCAAGGCAACTACTCTATCCAGTATAACATAAGCAAAGTAGTCAGCTGAAAGTACACAATAAGTATTGGAATCAAAAAGCAAGGAAGCTATAACAGGTATAAAAATAAACACAGTGATAAACAATATACGTAGCTCAGAGGATATACAGGGACAACTGAACCCAACAAAGAGTAAAGCACAAACTATACCTTAAAGAAAGTCCTTTTAATGACAATCTATAGAAAGTTAAAACATGTGGTTATTAGAATATTTTTATATATAGTTTCATGGTAAAATTTATGTTAATTACTTTTTACGATAATGTATAAATATCAGCCAGCTTTAAAAACAAATATACTTTGAATGTCTAATGAAAATATGTGTTGAAAGGTATGCCAATGGATGCATCCAAGGTTAACAGTTTTATTTCACTGGTCTACACTGTAAGGCATTTGAGAATTTTCTTAACTTTCTTTATATATATAAAGTATAACAGTTCACTGTATAATGCTACATACTACTAGTGAAATATGTAGAACAGACTTAGCTCAATTTGTTTCTGTCGAAAAACTTACAAAACCTAACATTAGTGAAAACTGTGAATGAGGAAGAGACTAACTGTTTGTGATACATGGAGGAAGCACAAATTGTAAAATGTTATCAAATACTGAGTTAAGTGTAGGGAACTACTTTCTGATTTTGTTTCAAGAATTCTGTGAGTCACCTGTTAATCAAGCAAAAATCTAAAGTATATGTAACAGTGGTAAACAGAAATTAAATGACAAAGGAATGTAACCAAAATGAAAGTATAAATACCCTCAAAAAATAAGACTGTACCCAAAAGAAAGACACAAGAATTTGTTCAACAAAAAAATATCACCACTTAGTCTGCAAAAAATAATTGTTGCCCATCAAAATTGACATCACAGTTTTGTTAAACACAGATGAGAGTTAACTAACAGAAAGATCTATAAACATGAAAGTAACAATTCTTAAATGAATAATGCAAAAGGAGTAACAAACTGAAAATGTATTATTACTCAATGTCAAAGAGAATATTGATAACAATATTACCACCTGGTATCTACAATAACTAAATGTATGGTAAAAACCAATATAAAATGCTTATACAAAATACATACATTAACTTTCTCACTAGAGGCTCGGTCAATTTGAATCTGAATCTTGACCCCAAATTAACCTTTATAGTTTCCAAACTATAATTTCTAATATATTGTGTATATTCACAAAATTTTGCAAGCTTTAAGTAATTATTAAGATGGTTTTGTACACAGAACATCATAGTTTTTAACGAAAGATTTTCATTAAAAATTTCTCCATGAATATGTGGAGTCAAAGTATTGACTACTCTGATGGCAAAGTGATTTTCATGCTAAACATTAAAATACTTTGCTTCATATGACAAAACTCAAATTTCATTTGCATAATTTTTAAAACATCCTAAATAAATATCAAATGTTTTTTTTCAGTAGAACTTTATATTTTATCTGTTATTTTCTCTACCCTAACTCAACATGAAGTTGGTGAAGGCGAATTTGACTGACCTCTTAACCACCACAAAATACAAAAAAAAAATTACCCTTCAATTCTTTATACAATGACTTCAAGTCGTAACATGCAACTACATTTGTTTATCCTAAATAGCTTAAAACTCATAAAAGTATATGTCTCTTTCTGCAAAAGTTTTATTGTTCTACTGCCCTTTGAACCATGTCTAACTAATATTCCTACCACATAAGTTGAAAATCCCTCAGCAAACATATATAGCTCACGGTACCCTATTGAATTACATAACAGATGGGTTGCTCGCAAGTTGCTTGTGAGCGTGCCTCATAATTTTTTTATTTTTTTTTTACCCTTGGCTAATCTAACTTAAAAAGTTTCTAATTTTTACATTTTAGTTACTTTTATAATAGAAAAATAAAGATGAAAAACAAAAAATATACTACTTACCTGGGTCTTCATTTTTAGCTGTTGACTGTTGATGAAACTTACCCTAAATTTTTTTACTAATGATACTACCAAACTAAATACTTTTAGTTTAATTAAATAATGCACCAAAGAACACAAAATAATAACTTGCAAAAGCAGACAATGTTCGATAGCTATCATTGAACTGTACGCAACATAAACAATTCTCAGTACAAGAAACGTTGTAATATACGACATTTGATGGATAAAAACTTTGGCTTTCTATTGGTCATAAATAATATAGTATTATATGTCAGACAAAACTATTGACAATTTCTGAAATTTACCAACCTTGTATAGTTAGGGTTGAGAAAATAACCAATAAAATATAATGTTTTTCTAAAAAAAATGTTTAAAATTTAATTAAGAGGTTTTAGAGATTATGGAAATGAAATTTGAGATATTTCAGAGGAAGAAAATTATTTTTTAATCTGAACATGAAAATCACTTTGCACTCGAAGCAGTCAACACCGTTGAGATGCATTAAAGGTGGCAAATTAAAACATAAACTTGATTATACTTTGCATAACATATTTTCTAAGGTTATCAGTAGAAAGTTATTACAACTTTAATATGATTTATACATAACTAATTTTTATTGAAATGTATCATTCTGGACTTATGACTAGTAAAGGGGGTCTTGTAGTCTAAGTGTATATGATGGTCATGTATGTGGTCTACAGAATAATTTAGATTGCTCAAGATTGCTCTAGAACATCTGCAGAGGGTAGCATACAACAACAAAACCTTTCACAAGCCAACCTTATAATTACTCTTAAAAGCTTACACTCTTTGATTCCATGTTGAAATGTATCATTAAGTTGATGGAAAAGTTGCTGACAAGCTCTTTCATATGATGGAATGATGTAAGCCTGGAAAACTTCTCTACAGGAGTCCTGGATTTGGGAATGGACACTAGTGGCCAGAGACTGAGATATGTTATCCATCAGACTCTGAAAGTGTATGCAATAGAGTCATTACACACCTAATTTATTTACTGATAAAACATTTTTGCTTGACTTACTACTATTTTTTATGTTCATAACTTCCCAAAATAAGTGATTTTTATTAAAATACTGAAGAATCAACACAGTACAATTACAATTTTATTTAAAAAATTATAAAATTTTATTTTTAAATATGTAAAGTAGTAATCACATGACCATGGTTTTTTATATTTATATGTTGCACAACATTTGTTTCTCACACTTCTGAGTATGACATGAACAATGCAAAACATGCAGAGTGGCTTTTTTATGACCACTGATCAGTTTTAAATAAAATTTTAATTATATTATACAACATTGATTGTTGAGTATTTTAATATATTTACACAAATTTCCTTGAATTTTATCTATGATTTTTATCATTTTACACAGTTGTAATACTTTTAAAACATATTTCTGGTTGTTTCCTACATAGCTCTGGTTTCTTGATTCTTTCACTAAATTATATGAAGCAGTTAAGTAAAGCAAGGTTCTTCAAACATTATCAAGTGATAAATACAATGTAATAAGACTACTATCATTTTTAATACTACATCAATAAGCTTAATGTAAGAACATAAAACAAAAGCATTTTCACTAAAAAATGTAATAAAGTTCAGTTTTTTCTTTGCATATTATAATTTATTATTTACATTATTAGAAAGTTTGTGTAATTCTCACATCACACAAACATAATGCTCTAATGTTAACAAAGATAACTAAGGTTGAAATTAAAATAATAAAGTAAAATATTTCATTTTAACTATAAGTCATAAAACAGTGCAAAGAACAAGCAGGTGTTTTCTCCTTACTAATGAATGAATTCTAAAAAAGTGTTCAAAGAACTAGTTTTTTCCAATTCACTATTAGTCCTATAGATTTTCAAAACTTTACAGCCTCTGACTTCGAGACAGCAGCACTACAATTATACTTTATACAGTACAGTTTGGATTAACCCTATCACCCAGGGTATCCTTTACTGTGCATGATGCAAGGTTTTAGTGTCTTACATTCAAAATTTTAGTAAAGTACTTTTTATTTCTGTTATACCAATTAGAATAGCATAAAATCTTAGCTAATAATCCATATTTTAATAATATACAAGTTTTAAGATCTTAATTCTACAAGGCAATATT